AAAAAAAAATTACATCCTTGTGATGCATGGAGGGGATTGGAACCATGGCAATGAGATGATATTCGATGGAATGAATGTAAAACTAAAGTTCTCTCATGTAAAATATCATATAATTCACAATAAAACATGGGGGAAAAAATTACATCCTTGGAAACCCTATAGGGTAGCTCTACTCGGTTACATGGAGGAGCTATGAGTTGGGATTGAGGGCACCCAACAATGATTACAGGAGTCCTGGTGTGGTGTTGAAAGATAATGCACTGGGCCCCAAGGTCAGTTTGAACTGCAAGGTTTTCGGTTCAAACTCATCAGCGGGTCCTTGGAAACCCTACACAGGGTCACTGTGAGTCAGAAGTGACTAGACGGCATTTTATAACAATGACTACAGGTAATGAGGACTCACCCCTCCAGAGGCAGCCAGTTCCCCGGATGGAGAGGGAAGACTGACCGGAGTTTTTGTACTGACTCAGATTGAAACCCAGACTCTGCTACCTGCCAGCTGTGTGACTTGGAATACATGGTTTAACCTCTCTGTGATTCAGTTTCCTCATCAGGAGGAGGGGTTTAAAGACAGTCTTCCCTGAGGAACCTTGTAAGAATTCAAAGCCAACATTGTCTCTCTCCAGGACCACTGCAAAGGCTTCTTCTGATCTACCTGTTCCCACCCCATACCTAGCCAGGACCTGAGTCTACTCAGAACCATCCTGACTCCCACCTCCCTCAGACTCAACGCAAAGTCCTTACTGGGATCCATGTATCCTCTCCTTCCTCCTCCCCTCTCCCCTTTTTAACTCAGCATCACTCATACACACTGTACTTCTCTGCATTCCTCAGATCCACATAGAGTTGTTGTTGTTAAGTGCCATCGAGTTGGTACCAACTGAAAGCAATCCTACACACAACAGAATGAAACACTGCCTGGTCCTGCGCCAACCTCACAATCATTGCTATGTTTGAGCCTATTACTGCTGCCACTGTGCCAATCCATCTAGTTGGAAGGAGGGGTCGTCCTATCTTTCTCCAACCCTCCACTTTACCAAGCACGATGTCCTTCTCCAGTGTTGGATCACTCCACAAGCAAGGTACCCCTGTGTACTGAACCATTTCACATTTTCCCATGACATCGAAGACTCTGCATCTAGGTCTGGCTGACATCTGTCTCTCTCCCAATCTCCCGGCACCTTCCTACAGAATCCGTTCCTCTCTTCAGATTCACAATCCCCAACAGGGACAGAGGACCCAGTTAGCGAGATAAGCACAGGCTTATTTCTCTTTATTTACTCATCTGTAGTGAACAATTTCATTTTTCACCACATCTGCAAAACTGTCCACTACAGAAGAGCAAGCAGGTATAAGTAATCTCATGCTTGAGCCCTAGTGTGGCATTGGACTTGTAACTGAAAAAGCTGGCACTTCATGCCCACCAGTTGTTCTCAGAAACCCTATACAAGATCTCTATGAGTCAGAACAACACTAGTCTTCTGCTGACCTTGCTTGTTGGCTTCTCCGCCCCTGCCCACCAGACACAACCCTGCCACAGGTCCTTTGCACTGGCTGTTTTCAGCTCCAGCCAGGCCCTCACTTCTAGGTGTTTGCTTCAATATCCAGCCTCCTCAATGAAGTCACCCTGCCCATTCTGTTTACCATCAAAGTCCCCCTCCCACTTACCCTACATCTTTTGTTCCTGGACCCACCACTGCCAGCGATCCTATGGTTGAACCGCATTACTTGTAACACTGGTGCCGTGGGTTAGTCATTGGGAGCTAATGGCAAGGTGACTCTGGAGAAGGATGAGGCTGTCTGTTCCTATAAAGTTTGAAAATCTCGGAAACCCTATTAAGGGTCTCTATGAGTCGGAAATCAACCCGACAGCAGTGGATTTGGTTTGGTCTTTACTTGCAAATGTGCCTACTTTCAATTCACCTTGGTGTTAAAATTTATTTGTCCCTCCAAAATCAATGTTGGGTCCCATCGAGTAGATTTTGACTCAGTGATCCCATGTGTTGTTGTTGTTATGTGCCGTGGAGTTGGTTCCTACTCTTAGTGACCCTGTACAGGGTCTCCGAGGCTGTAAATCTATATGGGAGCAGAAAGCCTCATCTTTCTCC